GGCGACTTCCTGTGCGAACACAGCCTCGGGAGCGGCCGTGGAGTCGATACAGTTGGCCTTGATGGAGATGACGATACCGCCACCAACCTTCAAGAACATGCCGGCGTTGAGTCCAACAATACGTGCTTGATCGGGCTGAGCAACATCAGCGAAGATGCAGTCGACCATGCCCAAGAGCATCCTGTATTTCGATGGGTGCCTGGCGTCCTCGACGATGGGAATGACATTGGTGCGGTGGGTGGCCATGTTGATCAGATCACGGCCGGAGCGGTGGGAGAATTCCACGGCGAAGACAGTTCCTTCAGGACCGACGATATCGGCGACGTGGGAGACTGATGTGCCGGAAGCAGCACCAAGGTAGAGGACCTTGGAGCCAGGGCCCATGTAGATGTTGTCGACACCACCCAAGATACCAGCAGCCAACTTGGAACGGAAGGGGTTCCAGACACGGTATTCGGTGCTGCTGGCCTCGGTCTCGCCGTCCTTTGCGGCGCTGGCGCCAACACTAATGCGCTTCTCTCCGTAGACGGACTCTCCGGGGGTCAGGTTCTTGGTGACGAGAAGATCTTCCTTGCCACGAGCGACGAAGACACCTGCATGGCGATGGCTGAATCTAAAGTTAGCGAGGGTTATACTCTGGACGAGGGCTCTACTCACGGCTCGACAATAACCTTGGCTCCGCCACGCGCGCCGCCACGACCACCGCCGCGAGGACCACCGCGGCCTCGTGGAGCACCACGGCCACCACCACCACCACGGCCTCCGCCACGGCCACCACGATCACCACCGCCGCGGCCTCCGCCACGTCCGCCTCTAGGAGTAAAGCCACCGCGACCGCCACGGTCACCACCGCCACGACCACCGCCGCGACCACCTCTGAAGCAATGTTAGTAAATTTTTTTCTCAGAAGCATTTTAGACTTGAATCTATTGAGCGACAGGCCGAAGTGAAAAGTTTCAAGTTGGTGCAGTACTGCTCAAAAGACCGTATCCCAAGTCTTTTATACCTCGCGATGGAGGTTCGAGTAGTGGGAAGCATACCTGGGAGTGAAGGCCATTGCTACTAGGTTCGGAGTTTTCGTTGAAGCTTATGGAGATGAAAAGACTGTCGCGCATGGTCAATTTTGAGATTCAAAGTTGCAATGTACATGGTACTAACTTGTGATATGTAATTCCACTCGGTGCGCAGCGATGTTGCGCGTTGAAGTGGGTGTGGATACTGGGTGTCGCGGTAGAGCGATGGGTGCTGCAGGAGCTTGAAGTTCGAGCTCAAAAAAAATCCGAGTATTAGTCTTAGCGCAGAACCGCGCACACCCAGACACGTGACATGGCCCGTGCAGTGCTGCCGAGCCGCTCTGCCCACATCGAAAATTGACATGAATTTCCCAGACACCACGTCGTCAACCTCCACTAACACCCACAGCACAAATCGACAAAATGGTACGTCTACCACCGTCACGATGCATCATTGACCTTTGCGACTCGAACATGGAATTAATTTTTGCAGGTTCGCTACGGAGCAACCTCCATTGACGGCGCAAAGTCTGCCCGCGCCCGCGGCAGCTACCTCCGCGTTTCCTTCAAGAACACCCGCGAGACCGCTCAGGCCGTCAACGGCTGGAAGCTCGAGCGCGCCCTTACCTACCTAGGAAATGTCCTGGAGCACAAGGAGGCCGTTCCCATGAGGCGGTACGCTGGCAGCACTGGACGCACTGCTCAGGGTGAGTGGCCCTGAAATCGATTGGCGCATTGGCGCGATGGGAGGACGTATGCAAGAGATGGGGACTTGGAGATTGGATGGAGTTTGTTTTGGCGATTGCAGGAACGCACGCTGACTTGAGCAGGCAAGGCTTTCGGTGTCTCCAAGGCCCGCTGGCCCGTCAAGTCCGCTGAGATCCTCATCGGTCTCCTCAAGAACGCTGAGGCCAACGCCGACACCAAGGGCCTCGACACCAGCAACCTGATCATCAAGCACATCCAGGTCAACCAGGCTCCCAAGCAGCGAAGGCGCACTTACCGTGCTCACGGTCGTGTATGTACACCGAGACGAATCGCGTAAACTTTCCTAACATGAATAGATCAACCCATACATGTCCAACCCCTCCCACATCGAGCTTATCCTCACCGAAGGTGCCGAGGTCGTCCAGAAGGGTCCCCAGACTCTCGAGCGCCGCTTGAACTCCAGGCAGCGTGGCCGTGCTGTCCGCAAGGCCATCACCGCCTCTGAGGAATAGAGGAAATAAGGGTGGTGATGTTGCGGCGAAGAAAACGGTCAAGGCATGGGCACGGTTTGGAGTCAAATGAGCGATGAATCTTTAGGGTCTTTCACACTCATCATGTATGCATGATATGGCACTTCGATTTCTACGGTGTCTGGTCCATGAAATAAATAGGGCCAAGGCCTGGTTCACACAAACATCGATACCGTATGCGCCTATGCCAATTCCGTCGCCACTCTTGTGCTTCTCCGTCGTGACACCCTCCGATCCGAGATTCTGCGACCGCCATGTCTAGTGTACTCTTCATACCACATGGAGACTGACGTATAATGCTATGATACTTGTAATGAATGCACGAAACACCATAGTCAGCATAGCTTTCTAAGTAAACTAGAAGCTACCTTTCTATGGAAACTTTGGTCTATACCTCTTTGTGTTAACTTCCAAACAGCTGAATGGATATACACTATCCTGCTTTGGGCCTAGCGTGTCACATCGCTTTTGGCAACTTAAGGATAAACATCGGTGCATTCCAACCGCTCGATGGCTGTTTTACGGCCCCAGTTGGTCCGAATTGCTCCATTGACGTACGTAGTTGCTGATCCTACGCCGCTTGTCGTTCGTCATATCTTGCGTCGCCTTGCTCCAGCCAGGCTGACCAACTTTCCCGTGACCAATGACGCAAGCCCAGCACGAGCCCAGCATGGGCATGTACCTTGCCGCAACATGTATGTAAAGATAAGAGCCAAGGTATACGCTGGGATCCGTTATCCATTTTCTTTCTCCAAATACCTCTCTTCTTTGAAATATTAAAAAAGCTTTCGTGGATATCCAATCTGTGATTCCACAAGTACCAACATGACTCGCCTACACGCTTCCAGACAACACAAACAACAAATGAGACTCACCACCACTGTCCTTTCGATACTCGCCACAACAGCGCTTGCACAACAGTCAAAACGTGGTTTTGCATTCATTGGCGACACGCACAAGTCTGATAATCGACTTCTCACCTCCGAAACCTCGCAACTATCATGGTACTACAACTGGTCACCCTACCCAAATAGTGATCTTATCCCAGCCGACCGACTTGAGTTCGTGCCTATGATTCATGGCATTGACGCCACCAAGGATGAACAAACTGAGCGTGTAATACGAGGCTTGCCAGAGAGTAGCAAACATCTGCTATCCTTCAACGAACCGGACGGCTCAGAAGGCAGTGGGGGAAGCAGCATAAGCCCCAAAGATGCCGCGAAAGCTTATATCGATTACGTCGTTCCCTTTCGCAAGGGCGACAGCGGAGGAAGAAAATGGTTGATCAGCCACCCTAGCACAACTGGTAGTCCAAACGGTCTTGACTGGTTACGTCGATTCAACGAGTCCTGCTACGATATTGACTCTAAAAACGGTTGCCCAGCGGACTTTGTAGCTGTACATTGGTACGGTGCTTTTGATGGCCTTGCGGGCTGGCTAGGCACCCTAGACGAGTTCTACAACACAAACACATCACGAAGCGTACCGCTCAAGCTCTGGATTACGGAGATGGCGCTGCCCCAGCAGAATGCAGACAACACCGTGGACATGATGAATCAGACACTACCCTACCTTGATGGCGAGGAGAACGTCGCGAGATATGCATGGTTTGGCGCGTTCAGGCCTGACGACGCGAATGAATGGACCGGCGATGGAGTAGCATTGTTTGATGATGATGGCGGTCTCACGGAGCTGGGAGCACTTTACATGGGAGATGGATTTAAGGAGGGACAGAAGGGAGAAGGTGCAGCGGAGGATGCTGGAAGCGGAATCCGTGTCAGCGTTGGAACGATGGCTACCCTAGCCGTATGTGCTACGGTTTTCAGCATGTTGTAGATGCGTCCCGGTCAAATTATCGCGTTCGTCTTACTCTAGATACCCTAGCCTGCTTTTAGATACCACTGATGCGCTTATAAGAGCGCTCTATGGAATGAATCATAGATGGTCTTCTCAACTTCGAAATGTATATATGTTGTGTTCCATTCGAGATGGCTTATCTGAAGTGACTGGATGCTCGTCCGGGTGATAGAGATGTCTCGGAACAGCTGCAAAAAGATCGAATGCATGAAAGGGTTGTTATTGATATGCTATATATTGTTCCCTCTTGTTTTTGGTCTACTAATTACACATTCGGGCTGTGATTCCGACGATAAGCGGGTGCTGTGACATAGTCGATACGAGCTTTTGATATGAAATGATCAAATATTCAAACACTCGTTTTACCGCTAGGAGTATCAGAATATATGTCTCCTTCACTCGGTTTATGAGTCAACCAATCATCAAGGGCTTGCGTTTGGTGCGAATCTGACCGCTTGTTTACATGGTAGTCATCGCTTTCATTTCCCTTTCCCATGTGGGCTAAGGCAACCAGATTAAAAGCACACCTTACTGCTATTCACGATGAAAGCTAACCATTTTCATTTCACTTTCACGACCTCATAGTCACTGTGTATTTGAATTACACGTGATCCCGGTGTTTTACGCAGTCACTTTGATTTCGAACTGGGATGAAAACACCTATCACCCCTCTATCAGAAATCTCCTACCACAAACATTACCCCAAGTCTCAATAGAGCCACCCAGGGCAAAAGTCAGCAGTTCAAAGTCGCACCCTTGAACATTGAATAGTAAGCCATAAGCTTGTCGTCGTACGGCGGCATCAAAACATAAAGCCGCCTTCAGATCTCTGCCAGAAGACTTTGAGATCTGGACTAATAACACTAACTAGAATAACATCAAAAGAGCCAAGATGTCGTCTCCAAATAACACCAAAGGTAAACGTGTTATTGCAACAAAAGCACCCCGTCAACGACCCGCTTCCATCACCCCCGAGCCGACTATCTCTCAACTGCTCTCTACGCGTCCATGGCTCTCACGTCCTCAGTCCGTATCTGAACAAGACCGCTTCATCATCCACTATCGCGACAACCTCATTCCTGGAGCCACAGCCCCGAAAGACTGGAATGAAGTGACTGCCGAGTTTAACGAGAAGTTCCGCGAGCAGTTGAAGCCGTTGTCATGGAAGACGCTGAGCAAACGCTGCGGCGTCGCCCGCAAGATCTTTCTAGGCGAAAACGAAGACTACGCCCGCGTACTCACATACCCAGTCCCAGACATCGATACAGAACGAGAGTCTGACGAGGACGTTGATATGGACACAAAAATTGTAGGTGAAGAAGCGTTGCATTCTAATCCTACTCAGCCTACCCCCCAACCCTTCCCCTCAGAGCAAAGCTCTCCTCCCCATACCCTCTATACGCTCTATGCCCGGATTCTATGATCCCGCGTCTATCTCAGACACCTACATAACGCCCACCACCCGCGCCAAATTCCACATCCGAAACCGCACCACCTCATTCGTGCGCTTCCACTTCCTCAACCCCAACGAGGACTGCCTTGCGAAAGACAATCCGCAATGCGTCGACATCAAGATCTTGATTGCCAACTCACCCTTCTACGCCCGCAACCTGCAGCGAAACACACACTTCACCATCATCGATGTCCCCAAGAAGTTTACCGCACACACAGTAAACGCATTCATCCAACTCATCGCTCCCGTATGCGCAACGCGACTGCCCGAGCACTACTTGTGGAAAGCGCAGGTGGCTACGCCGGGGGTGTATGATCGATTTGGCGCTGTGAAAGCGGAGAAGATCGATTGGACAGTAGAAAGCCTGCTTGATCTGCTGTTTTTTGCGCAGATACTCGAGGTGGATTGGGTTGTCGATATGGTTATTGATCGACTTCATTTCCTGTTCGTGGAGCAAAAGCGACTCAATCAGGTTAATGGTGCGGTGAGCGATACTCAGCGTGTCGCCGGTCGTTCGCGGGCATCGATGGCAGCTATGCAGCTGACCAAGCTCAGCACTGAGGATTTTGGACAAGGCGTTATCACGCATCTGGCGGAGATCTCGATGGACATGTCGACGCTGAGGTTCATCGCGGATCTGATGAGTGGCTTGGGTAGTAAAGTGGATGCGAAGTGGATTGCCAGGACGTCCGACAAAGTAAAGCACGTCTTTACTTATGCGTCCGAGGATTATCTCATCAACAGCTCGCGCGAAGGCCACTGCAAACGATATCATCATCATCCGCACACTGCACGCGGTTGCTACACGTCTTGCGTCAACCATCCACCGGCTACATTCATCAAAGCGCTCTACCACTTTGCTACGCCAGAAGAGCTTATCCGGCACTCGAATGGACTGTTACCGAGTGGTGCAAGCAGCATTTCGAACACTGGATCGAGTAAGCTGAGGGAAGAGAACTCGTCACCCGAGATGTTGGACACTGAAAAGAAGGTTCTGGAGATGGAGAGCCGCTTGGAAAAGGCAAAGGCTGCTTTGCGATGGGCGCGAGATGCGTCGGGGGTTGAAAAGCAGCATGCTATGCGAGAGGCGGGCGAAGCTGCCGAGGAGATGTATGGGCCCAGTCAGCTCTATTGTGGAGGACTCATGAGTACGGTAGTTCTTTCTACGTCCTAGAAGTCGGATAGGCGTCTTGCTTTGGTATTGGAGAGAATTGGGAAAGGAAGCTGTAGGAACTTAGTGTTGGTGTATTTGCAGACCTAAACTTTGAGACGAAATTGTATATGTTCCTGTTTTATTTTTATAATAATTTAAAAAGGTCGCTATGGAAGAGGAATCTTATGAATGTTCGAATGTTAAAATAGTATCATAATCAAGGAACGGATTGAACGTTGAATCGAAAGCAAACCATTGGAAAATCGCGACACTATTGTGTGATGGTAATGTGCAAACTAGATTTAATACCCTTCCGACTCGATCGATGAGCGATGTATTGATCACCATCTGAGACTTCACAAGAGAAAGCCAGACAGGTGACGTTCTCGTAGTTAGATCTTCTCAAGCTCAAGGATGTTTCCCTGTCCATCAACAGCAAGTTTCTTCTTCATAAGCGACGTGTTCCTCGGATTTGGCGCATTAAAAATGTCGTCGATTTCTTCAAGAGTGCGGTTCTTGGTCTCTGGGATAAAGAGCCAGACAACAAATGCCCGGATAGGGCACCAGCACGCGACGACAATATACAGCCTCCAACCGATATTTTTCAAAGCAACAGGATACGCCAATTGGTTGATCAACATAGCCGCTTGGGGCGCAACCTGCGAGAATGCCATGCCTTTGGCTCGTATTTCAAAAGAGAGTACCTCGACTGGATAGAGCGCTTGGAGTGGCGTAATACCAAAGGCGAAGACGGCGTTAAAGAAGAACACTAGCGCGGCAAAGGCGTTGCCAGCAGGGATACTGTGATGACTGTTCTGGTATGAGACTGCCCCAATAGCAGCAACCCAGACAAAGTTGATAATACTGAATGTTCCTATCACCATGGGTCTCCTGGTGGCTAGGACAGTCCTTGATGATTATGTTCACATGGATGTGTGCCGTTGCCTCGAGGATCACGGATATCCGGGGGGAGCCCCTTCCTTGAGCATCTCAGGGGACAATCAAGCGCAATAGCTGGCAACTTTTAAGTAGACGGAGATACTGTAGAACGTATAGGATCTCGCGGGGCGTAACCTTAATGTTGCGATTTTGACGGAAAGGGACTTCACTTCATATCGTTCGCTGCGATTGCAAATTATTGATGTTCTGCAAGAACCAACCTCGCCGTTCACTTTGAAAATGTCGTTTTTAGCGTAGCAGGTGGAGTGGTATGCTTCAGCATCAGCAGAGAAACGTGATAGGTACTGATCTAGAAAGCGGATTGCTCGCCTTAACTGCAGCGTTTAGTGATTGAGACACGAGGCCATTACTGGACGCAAATACATAGTTCGGACAAGCTCCAATTTAGATGTTAGCCAGGCGTGTGAATATGGTCTTTGTTGATGTTGTCCACATTCTATATGGATGGCAGCGTAGCGTTGGCAGAAGTACTAGCGTCTAGCTTTGCATCCGAGCCATCGCGTATGCCTCAGAGCTTTAATGAACCAATTCGATGTTCATTACAATAATGCATGCTGATTAATGGGTGAGTAGTGAGACAGAATTCTGGTGTAACGGAGAAATTTCCGTCACTCCAGTCATGTCCAGCGGTTGTTGAGTTGAGGTAAAATCACGTGCCGAGCGGGGTAAATCTGTCCATCGTGTCGGGCAGGCGTGGTGGAGGCTGTGCCGTATGCGTCTGGCTTGTTGTTATCACGTGTGATGATGATAAAATAAACTTGTTCGTATAGGTTTTGCTGCTTTGCATGTTTCTGCGCACCGGTCATGGCTCGATGTGCTAGGCGGTGGTATTTCGCAGGTGGGTAACTGATGATAAATCCTTGCCTACCATGGCGGGATCCGGGGCTACTAGAGTGGTACCCATCTATGATGTTAACAGCTGTGTTGTCGCCATCAGATCTATTGGCTTTTTGAGCCGAATGGATGTTCTTTAGTCCTTTTGCACACTGTCCTATTTTACTATTAGTCACAGTTCTAGCACTGCGCTCACGTTTCGCCAGAGCCATGAGTGGCCGATATGCAGTGCCGAGATGGAGATATATCTAGTTCAGTTTGTGCAAAGGAATACTCATTGTCTCAGCTCTATGAATGACTGCAGATATTCTTCGCCAATATGCTATACACCACACTTCGATCCTGTAGAAGTTTGCGTTGTGCATCAACTCCTCCAAATGCTTCCAATTGTTTCTTCCCATCAACTGACGGAAAGGGAGCTTATTGTCTATCAGCTCACCCTGGCGGCGATGGAGCATAGGAAATTTGCGTATACTCCATCATTTGGTACGTGATAGTCTTCTTCCAAAATGATGGTAATCATGGACGAGCCAAGGATTTTGGTACGCTTCTTGAGTTGGAGTCGGAACATTTTGAAGAACATTTCGCCAGGAGCATCTGGGTATAGTCATACATCAATATTCATCGTATCGCATGTGATCCTTGGTCAGGGTTTGTTTCCAAATCATTTTGTTCGCCTTTGATAAGAGGGTGCCTCGGAGACGATCGGATTGTGTCTCTTCTTGCAGGGGAAACTACTGGAATTCATTCCAAAACGTAACTAAAGAGATAAGCAGATATATGATATGTACTAATTTGAAAAAAAGTCATGTAGGATCAATTGGATTTGAACGACACAGCAGCCTTGCAATAAAATCATGGGAGTATACCTTAATAGCTAATGCATAGCTGGATAGTTGTTTAATACTTGTAATATGCAAAACTGACAAAGTCAGCATTTACCATCTTGACTAGGACCCTTGTATGTATCGTCGCAAGTAAATAGGTGGAAAGGCGCAGTATAGCCCAAGCGTCCGTCTGCTGAGGTTAGATACACAGACGAAGGATTGTGGGCTTGTTGTTCTTGGCATCGCGTTCAGGGGTGGCCCCTGTGGCGTACCACGTAACTACTACGTAGGTTGCGGCCTATCTGTAACAAACTGCGGCCAACAAACCTGTGCGTGGCGCTCTCGTCCTTCATGTGGACACACCTCAGACCCGCGGAGTAATAGGGGGGGTTGTGGTGGCAGTGTTGGCCAAGCTGGCCGCATGCTATAACCAGGACGTGTGCTATCATGTCTGACGCATGAGAATTCAAAAATTGTCAACCTCGTTTGGTGCCATGCGGCGGCTACCAGATCAACCGTCAAAACATGAGGTTCGTAGATATGCCGGGCTGACCGCGCGCGAATGGGATGACGTATTTGTTGTGAGACTGTAATCTTATCCCCTCACCTTTGCGAAACCTGACCATGGATAGGCCATAATAACCAAAGAAGCGAGGAGACTCAGAGAACAAGACCCTGACATTCTTTGGAGAGCTCTCAATCAAGAGACAAAGAACGCCATCGTGAACAATGTCAACCAGAAGCTAGCCGAAAAGAGCATCCGACCAGTGAGCTTGGAAGTCGTAGGGAAACGTCTCGGTCTATCATTAACTCGCATGAAGCATGAAGGCAAGTGTAATCATCTACTTCTTTAGTAGCTTAACCTGACTGTTTGTTGTATAGCTCGCAAGAAAGCTTTGGCTGCGAAACAGAAGGCACCTACTAATGCTGCTGCCATTGCTACTAGCACGCCGGCCCAACGAGCCCGACCTTATGACCCTGTGCGAGACCTATGATTTTGCACATGCATACTCTTGACATAGTCTATCAACATCCTCACACCTAGCTACACCTTCCGCCAGGCATGTTTGCTGCGTTAGATTTACCTCTGCTATATGGCGTAATATTGTGTTATGTGCATCTAATAACGGCTTTGTTACACCATAGTTGCGGAGGAGCTTATTACCAAGGCGAAAATGATGCAGTGCATCGATCGGCCCCTCAGAGAACATGTTCAACTTGGTCAATGAATCTGAGGGAATTTTTCCAAGTGGACCTGTCTCCCCAGATAGATGTGGCAATAGCGAAGGGCGTCCGGATCGGCATTGACAGTCTTATCGTCCAGGAAAATTCGACCGAGGACCAGTCGGCAAGTTGACTAAGTCACCACTGCCGACATGGAGTGGACGTTGTTCAGTAGGCAAAATGAGATGATAGCAGCAAACAAAGAGGGAACTGGGAGCATATCTGAACGACTGGGTAAATGTTTGGTGCAGTTGAAGCGTGGATTGATGTTGCACTGTCTTAATCTCCTGTAGTGTGATGTCGGGTGTCAATGTACCCAGTGATAGAGGCTGTGAATTTGATCGTTGCTCATCCCACGTGGTTCGTGTTTGGCTGTGTTACTTGACTCAAGACGGAATACTGGAGTTGCAGTTTGAGTATCGAACAAGAGATGAAAAAGGGGTGGTGTGGGTTGTCCTTCCCTTCCAGATCAAGCCTGTTATCGATAAGGACCACGTTGCAGGCATCAACCGCGTCCCGCACCGACCCTCCGATCCACCACCAACATGTGAAGCCCACGCGCCAACAGCACGCGTTGCGCAAACCATGTACCACCTCTTCAAGTCCATATACCTGCATGCAACGAGCAAAGAAGGTAACATAGCCCTCCAGCATCACTTGATCGGAGGCCCCAATCTGTCATGCGCCCGCACTCTCTAACATTCGCGCCCAGAGTACTCGGTCCTGCTCCTCGGCCTTGACAATGCTGGTAAAACAACTCTCCTCGAGCAAATAAAAGGCACATATACCTCGTCCAACGCCAACCTCCGCACCGTGCCCACTGTGGGCCAAAACGTCGCTACTATTGCCCTCCCACCGCCAAACCCGCCCATCTACCTCAAGATATGGGACGTCGGCGGCCAGCATAGCCTCCGCGGCCTATGGCAGTCTTACTACAGCAGCTGCCATGCTATAGTTTTTGTTATCGACAGCAGCGATGTGGGAAATGCGACGCTAGCGGATCTGAGCGCGAGCAATGCGGCGAGCAATGAAGATATAGGCAGGCTAGATGAGTGTAAGCTTGTGCTGGAGAGCGTGCTGGCCAATGAAGAGGCGAGTGGTGTGCCCATACTTATTCTGGCGAATAAGCAAGACAGAGAGGATTGTGTGGAGGTGGTTAGGATCAAGGAGGGGTTTGTGCGGAGGGTGTTTGAGGGCGAGAAGGGAGGCAATATGAGGGATAGCAGAGTGTTGCCCTGTAGTGCGCTTACGGGTACGGGTGTGCAAGAGGCAGTTGAATGGCTGTGCAGCAGGATGGCTTTCAATAAGGAGGCGAGACCGCCGGTTATGCGGTAGCTGTGATGCTTCTCGGAGATTGGACAGCATTGATATACCCTGTGGCGGCCGACTGAGGGTTTCTACCTCGTGGAGTCCTGGAAGAGACGGTCAAATCCTTATGTAATATATTGTATGAAACCTATGACCTCCAGGCAATCTGACCAAGACCAAACAATCCAAACACTTCACGACAGCAAGGCTCATTGTACACACGAAACAATATCCAGCAATTCAACTATCACCTTTCATCTGAAGCATATGCTAACTCTACCCAGACATGCCGCTCCTTCAATCATTCCCCTTGCACCCATCTGTCCACCCCCCTGCAGCCCTCACAACCTTATTATTACTCCAACACCTCGCCCTCACCCAAATCGGCGTCCGAAACGTCGCCTTCCACTCATACCCCTTATGCTTCCCCGGATCATCATAATACTCAAACTTCCACTCCGTAGTCCCCAACCCATAACACCCATTCATATTCGGCAGCATAGTCTTCTGTCCCCAATCCCACGTCGCCCAGCCAGCCCCTTCAATCGTGTACTGTCCAAACAATACTTTGTACCAGCCCTCGCAACGCCCGTAAACGTTTTTGGGCGGGGGCCATGGTCGATTGCTGCGCCTGGGATGCATTTCGTATTTTATGTCTCCCGCTTCACGGATGTAGCGGCCGCCGCCCTTCCAGTTCATCGGGTTATCCCTCGTATCGCAAGAATTCATGATTTTCCGCATCGAATCGATGCATTGGTCCTTATCAAACACTGAGTTTCCATTTGCAAGGCTAACAACAAGATCGTGTTCTTCGGGGGTACCAGTGTCGTAGCGCTTGGAGTAGCTCCAGTTGATTGTACCGGAGGGATGTTTTTCGTCGACTTCTTTGCAGAAGGCCTCGTAATTTGCGTTTGTGCGGTTGCCGTTTACATAGTATTTACTACCGGTTCCGGAGAAGCAGGTGAATTCGTCGCGGACGCTGGTGCAGGAGGGGGCGTCGACGCGGAGGGCGATGGAGCGGAGGTCCATGAGTTCGGCGAGGGCGAAGGAGGCGATGGTGAGGTGGCCGGCTGCGTTGGGGTGGAACTGTTTTTGTCAGTGGAAAAGCATATGAAAGATTATGGGGGTCGGTTTAGAGAGTTACTTACGTTGGCACCTACATGGTCGGGCAGACCCATGCCAAGGGTCATGTCCGGGCCGCCATCTCCAGGACAGCCTGGTGGTGAAGGGGCCCGTCGGTCGAGTTTATGTCTGACGACAGCACGCGGATCAGGTGACTTGTATAGGATTGAATCGTACATTGTATGCTTTAAATGCTTCTCACGGGCCTCCATGGCGGCCTTGACACGCTTGACCTGACGTTTCTCAGAGTTGGAGAGCCTTGCCGAGCTCAGCATCTCTTCGAGATCCATATCAAAGTCCAAGTCGCGTTTGCGTGGTGAATCACGACCGACTTGACTCTGCCAGCCAAAGAAGGGATGTGTGTCAGGCTTGATGAAATGCATGTCCGGTTGGCGTGGATCTGGATAATCGCCGTTGCTGCTGGGCGAGCACATTTGACCATCAACCTCCTTAGTGACCCACCAGTCCCAGTCGGAGTAACCGACCAAGTACTTGATTCTGCTGTCCTCAGAGGCTGCGTTAACAGCTGCTCGGATGGCCGAGTTGATGTCAAGGACTAATTTGTTGAAGGTCTGGCGACGAGCAACGGTCAAAGCCTGATAAGAGGCACCTAGCGGGAGAAACCAGGCAAAGTCCCACGACTGCTTCTCACAGTTGTTTGTGCTTGTGTCAAAGAACTGGGCATAACTGTTGACGACAACGATGCCGTCCTTGCTCATCTTTTCATTGAGCGCTTCGAGAATCTGCTTGACATTGTCTTTGATGATCGTCTTGACATTCTCCTGGGCCTTGGCTATAATCGTCTCACAGGCGCTGTTCTTGAAGTAGGGCAACATGATGCAATCTTTGATCATGCCAGCTAGACACAGGTCGTTTCCTCCAGCAGTAAAGGTGACGAAATCAAGATCACCCTTCAGCGCCTTGGCCTGCAGGTATATCCCTTCAGACCGATCGCCGCTACAAGCGAGGTACTGAAATCCGCCGTTCTTCTCGACATGGCCACCGAATTGTGCTTCTATGACTTTGGGGTATGCTAAGTCGTACCTGGAACATGAATAGTTGTCGCGAATCCGGTCAAGATCTCCAGGCACTGTGAAAGCCACCTCGTCGGAAGAGATTTGGTGGCCAAGCGGTCGTCCAGCACCAATTCCTGCCGTGTAGCTGTCACCAATGGCTGCCCATCGCTTGATCCATTCCATGTTGCTGGGATCACCATCTCGCTTCAGGAGAGGCGAGGAAGTCGAGGAGGACGACCAGTTGGCGGGTGAAACGGGCTTTGCACGTTGTGATACATAGCCGTTGGCCACACTGATCAGGGCCAGAAGACTGACAAGCGGCTCTGAAATCATGATGGAAAGAACTTTTGGGCCAGAATGAGCGACATGAATCAAGAACAAGAGGAAGGATGAATTTGAGAGACAAATCGTGTAAGGGAAGCGAGGTACTCCAAAGAGCTCAATTTTAGACTTGAGCAAGATGGACGATACGATTGAATCTGATCAAGACTGCAAAAGTCCAAGAGACACGGAGCAATTGCAGTTTCAGGAAAATGCTCAGTCACTCAACCGCTACGATACTCCCATGCTACTTCATCACAAGTCTGGGGGCCTAAGCTAAGACGAAGCAATACTCAACACAAATGAGCATCTTCACCAGAACCTTGTGGTGGTTGAGATGAACATACGAAATCTTAATGTCTCACATGCAGGTGAGACGACTAAGTCGCATCGGGCAGGCGAAGATGTGCACGAGGGAACCCCCAACTTTAGCGATGGTACTCGTCTAGATGCCTATCTCCCAAAACTAGTCTCAAAATGGAAATCCTCAGCTCACAACTGTAAGCCATCGATCTCATATCGGCTACATGCTGCGATGCAGCGGGTCATAGGGCAGACTAGCATCTGCGGCCAGGGGGTGGGGTGCATTTGCGGGTGGTCCCCTGATCGGTAGATGCATACCCCCCACCTGTACCTGACGGCTAAATGCACTATAGGGCGTAGGGCTGATTTTCAAGGGCTATTTTGGAGGGTTCTGCAAGGTCCTCGTTCACAGGTTAAGTTAAATTGAACTTCATCCTTCGCTTCCCTTGGCATATGTGCTGCCTGGGTACTGCTACCAGGATGGGAGGGTGTCTTGGGTGCTTGTATTTTTGGCATCTGGCCTTGATTTGGGGGCCTAAACTACCCCATCGCTTAGGATGTTCACATGTGTAGCTGAGGACATGGGCGGAGATTCGCGCTGCTCGGTGTCCGCCTGTTTTACAGTTCTCGACATCTCGTCTCAGTCGACTTCGTTACTTTCCAAAGTCTGTTCTCTTTGTTGTTGATTGTATTCACGTATTGCCCTTCGTTACACAAGTGTTGTGCAGACATTCCTTTACGATGATGATGTCCAAAGGCGTCTCATTTCGGTGCATATATCTCGGCCTATTGTTGACTGTCGAGGCAATCGACATGAGCACCTTTGCAGGACAGGCAGAAACAAGGTTGCTCTTAGAGAGTGTTGTCGGCATGGAGACAACAGCAGAGGCGGGAGAAATGCTCCTACGAGCCAAAGAGGAACCCGACTATACCTGCACCGCAACAAAACGCTGTAACCTTGGCTGTTGCGGACCACTGTAAGTCAAGTCACTCAGCAAGCTTGATCAGTATTGGAACTAACGCATCATCAGTGATGACACTGGTGTGGGAGCCTGTGGCTTTGGTCCCACTTTCTGTGGTGACAAATGCACCAGCGACTGCGATCGCAAGTCCGAGTGTGATGGTGGAAACTGGGGCCCCAAGTACGCCAACCTAACTACATGTCCTCTCAACGTGTGCTGCAGCAAACATGGTTTCTGCGGCACAACAGTGGATTTTTGCGGGCCAGATCCTGTGCCGCATCCTCAGTGTGATCTCTCCAAGCGGACAGCAGACTCTCGCACCATTGGCTATTACGAAGGTTGGAACTACCAGCGCCCCTGCGGGAACATGGAGCCAGAGGAAATTCCATTAGGTCACTGGTCGCACATCATGTTTTCTTTTGCACTTATCAACCCCAAGACGTTCCATCTTGAAGACATGGATGCCGGTACAGGATCTCGTGTCGGCCGTGTTGCAGCACTCAAAAACAGACAGCCTGACCTCAAGGTCTGGATTGCTGTGGGCGGGTGGGCCATGAATGACCCTGGACCATATCGGACGGCATTCTCTGACATGGCGGGGAGCGAGGCCAATCAAGACAAGTTTTTTGACTCGCTCTTGACTTTTATGAGGAAGTACGATCTGGATGGTGTTGATCTGGACTGGGAGTAGTAAGTGATAAAGCTCTTGCTTCCTATGATATAAACTGACCCACATACTCCAGCCCAGTGGCAGAAGATAGAGGCGGAATCCCCGCCGACTTTGACAACTATGTCAACTTTCTGCGGCGTTTGAGAGAGCGTTTAAATTCATCTGGCAGGGAGTATGGCGTCAGCGTAACTCTAGTGAGTGACCCACTACAACCCCATATCATCCATAGCTAACCTGGATAGCCCGCCTCATACTGGTACCTCCGTGGCTTCAACCTCCAAGAAATGGAACCTTACATTAGCTGGTTTAACGTCATGACCTACGACATCCACGGCGTCTGGGACGCCAACATCGACAGTCTGGGCCCTTACGCACACGCCCACACCAACCTCACAGAAATTAAGATGGGCCTCGAGCTCCTCTGGCGCAACAAAATCAACCCAGAGCGTGTGACGCTCGGTCTAGGTTTCTACGGCCGCAGCTTTACGATGAAAGATCCGGGGTGCATGAAGGCCGGCTGCGAATTTACTGAGGGTGCTAATGGCGGCGCTTGCACGGGTACGCCTGGTGTGCTGTCGGCGGCTGAGATTAACGAGATTATACAGAAAGGTGCTACGACTACGTATGATGAGGAGGCTGCTGTGATGATTGTTACTTGGGACTCGAATCAGTGGGTCTCGTTTGATGACACTAAGACGCTTAAGACGAAGATTGATTTTGCGCATCAGCATTGTCTAGGGGGGTAAGTTGGCCATCTTCCTACAATCTTCTTGTAAAGGACTGTTTGCTGACTTGAAATTAGGACAATGGTCTGGGCCATTGATCTTGACGATGGTACGCTGACCAAGGCCCTTGGTGCGAACATCAAGCGGCCCGTACTGCCTACATACCCTCTGCAGCAATATTCTGAGTGTGGTGCGAAACCTGAGTTGTAGATGGAGAGTGAGCTGCACACATTTTGTTCAAGGGACATTGACCGGATCTTAAAGACTTTCATAGAAATTTGACCAAATCCATCTCCGCATCTGATTCTACTGTGTGACCAAACCCTTGCATTCACAAGTTAGTATACGTGTGGTAAGATAGCTGATTCGTTGCTCATAATGGTTACTAAGAGATCAATAAATGCTTTGTTTGCAAATCATTAATCAACAAGGGGTACAGCTACGTATACGGACAGTAATGGTGATAGATTTAACGACGAACAGCTAACAGGTGGATTGGAAATAAATAATGTAAAGTGTTACATAGAAGAGACCGACGCGTGCTTAGACACGCTGTACCCATCTAGCACAGCCCTGATACAGTATCACCAGCACGATTTAGGAAAATGCGGGCTTTCCTAAATGCATTCTTCAGTTTGCTCGATTTCGAAGTATGCGGCTCAGCCGGCGTCGACGAGCCCGTATCACTGTATAAAGCGAGGAGACGGGCAATGTCCCTGTTGGTGGGAGCCAAGCGATTTGGAATCGGGGCACCGTCCTTATAGACCATGACTTGAGCGCGGTTATTCCCAGAACCTATACCACCGGCACCAGAAGGATACAACATGAGTGAGAGTGGGTCAAACTCCTCGTCCATAACGAAGCCGCCAGTATTTGAGTAAGGGAGCCATTCGCTAGCCAGGAACCTGTGTTTGAATGCGGCACCACGGGAAATGCAAAGGCGCTCGAGATCGACTTCCAACTCTCCACGCAGAAGTTCTTTACCATCCGCTATTGCCTCAGCAATCTTGGCACGCACCGCATCGTGGGCCTCTTTATAGTCCTTCATACGATCGCATTTGAAGTCACTGGTCTTGAACTTAGATACCATCCCTTTGGTTTGGGGGAATGCCCAGCCGTTTCGGGCATCCTCAGGGGTTAGCTCCCAAAAAAATGGATTCTGATGCTCATGGACAAGACCCCAGGCGTGGCCAAGCTCGTGCGCGACGTTGGCAGCGATGTTATCCTGACCAATGCCCTGTAGGTCGGACAGATGGATAAATGGCCCTTCAACCTTTCTATCAGGGTTTTCCTTGTTCCATTTCTCATCGATGGAGGGAATTCCAAGGGTTGTGGCTAGCTTGCCGTGATTGTTGTAGTGAATGTGAAGAATGGTTGCTTTCTCTGCTTCACATTGTTCCCTGTTTGTGACTTCTTCGTAGCTGAAACCATTTGCCTCAAGCGTCGCCCACGCGTTTCTTGCCAGATCCCACAGTCCCCGGATCACGTGATCAGGTTCCACAAAACAGTATCTGATCTTCTTGTTAGGCCAGATGCGTGGTAAAGCGTTGTTACCTGGTCGATTATCGATGGAAATAGCACGTTTGAGAAGTGAAGATGTCGCGTTGAGCACATCAGTAGCCGGGTAGTCTGGGCTAGGATTTGTCTGCTTGTTTGGTGCCTTTGCTTCCCAGTGTCTGCTTCCGCCGAGGGCGCTTTCAGCGTGAGCCAGTAAAACAATGACGAGCATTCTTGTAGAGATACGCATGATGAAGCGCTGAATGAAGATGAAGGAGTGAATAGATTGATGGCCGAGTGACTGAGCGACTGAACGAGGTCCCAGATGGCAGATTGATGCCTCAAGACCAGCCAGTGAAGACAGTTACGGAACTGGCCTGGCAGATGATGATTTTGCTCACCCGAAATAATGAAATCTATTCATAGAGATGCGATAGAAGTACCATTTACCTCTTCTGGTAACATCACCCGGTATGCTCTGATGACCCTAGCGCCCATGAACAAGAAATGGAAGGTGTTACCCTAGAGGCACCCGCCAATCTGTAACCATTTGTTGCGTTAACATGTGCCTCCTTTGGCCAGATCGTAAGGCTGACTAGGTGGAATGCCAATTTAGCGTGCCAAGAGCAGATGATGGACGCCTGACGGTGCCATCCTGGCGGCTTTCTACATGCAAGACTAGTTACCCGCCTTACCAAGGATGTAGGCTAAATGGCGAACCCTGTAAAGTCTAGTCCGTACACTATGCAGCCAAGATTCGAGCAGTACCATCGCTTGTCTTCGCGATATTTGCTGTGGCTGGCACTGCCATCCCTATCTGATGACTCTGTATTCGGTTTTCTGACGTCTCAGTCACAGTTGGTGTGTCTCGGTTCGCGGTTCTCGACCCCCCACTGCTCTGATCACTGTTCCCTTGAGTTTCTCTTCCGTCCAGGTTCTCTCATTCCAGCCATCAACTTGTACTCATGCCACAAAGATAGAAGAAAAGCAATCTTTGCGTAGCATCACGTTGAGCTCTATTCTTTCAAGTTCACGTAATCGGTCACATTTCTAGGTTGCTGAATCAGTGACTCCTTCACTAACACATCCCTTCCTCTTCCAATATGTTCCTCTCCTCCCGAAAATCCGCATGGCTAGCCGCGAGCTTGATCATTCCAACCATCATTGCTCAAGACTCTAGTCCCGGCGGCCCAGTTCACCCAGGCCAGCCAGAGAACTGCAATGGATGGCATACTGTTGTCTTGAACGACAACTGCCAAAGCGTGTCTCAGCGCTACGGTATCTCCCTGGAGCAGTTTTTCCAATGGAATCCTGCTGTCTCCTCAGATTGCCAAAACAACTTCTGGCTTGAGTCGGCTTATTGTGTGAGGGTGGGGAGGGTTACTCCCAAACCTAGCACTTCTACTCCTATCTCCACGCCTATCTCGACTCCCATTTCCACTTCTAGGACGATATCACAGTCAAGTATCAACTCGGCCTCCAAGACTCCGACCACCTCGTACAACTCGGAGTACTCAACACTGCATCCTGTTACTTCATGGAATATCTCAGCCACCAGTACCAACACAGCGTGGCCACCCTCCAAAACACTCGCAGGCCAAACAGCAATCTGCAACGCATGGCATCGCGTGACCCCTGGGGACACATGTCAGCGAATGTTGAACAGGTTTGGCATCCAGTCAATTGACCTCTTTCTGAGCTGGAATCCTGCCGCTAAGGCCGACTGCGAGATGCTTATCGCTGATTACTATGTCTGTGTTGGTGTCCAGCGGCAAGTTGGCAACACTGATCTTGAATGGGAGATGCCCCAGCCCGAGTTCACTCCACCTCCAGAGCCAACCACTTATATTCCTGTTACACTGCCTACGGCTGACTCGAGCTTCACGCCAAGCCCCTCCCATGGGCCCATGCCTTCCAACTGCAAAGTTTTCCACCGAGCTGCAGCTGACCAAAACTGCAACGACATTGTCAGATTATATGGCTACTTCTCGCAACAGCAGTTCTTCGCGTGGAACCCAGTTCTCAATGGCAACTGTCAAGGTCTCTGGCTTGACACGTGGTATTGCGTCGGTGCATACTCTGACAATACACTCCCACTGCCAGCCCACCAGACCACCAAACCAAATGAGGGCAACATTCCAGCAGGGTATCCTGCAGATTGCACACGATGGTACCAGACAACGGATGGTGATAGATGCGGACTTATCGTTCAGATGTTCGGCAGCTTCAATATGGCCGACTTTGTAAAGTGGAATCCATCCGTTTACAGTGACTGCAACGGCATCGTGTCGGAGGCGTGGTACTGTGTAGGCCGTCCAGGCACGCCAACAACACGTACTGAAGGTGCACCATCGCCTACACAGGGTATACCCGGCACACGACCCACACAGTCAGGCATCGCCTTGGCGTGTACCAACTTTTGGCTTGTTGGTGCTGGAGATACCTGCGACAGCATCTCGCGTCAGGCTGGTATTTCTTTGGAAAATTTCCACAGCTGGAACAAAGCAATCACCGCAGGCTCATGCGCTGGGCTCTCTGCCAACTATTACGTTTGTATTGGCGTTGATGGACAAGGGGGTGGCCAGTCACCGACTAGTATTGGGACAACGTCGAGAGCCTCTTCACCCCAGCCGACGACCCCGACGACGACACCAACAACAACCTCAAGGACAACTCCGACGACAACACCAACTCCAGCGCCAATAAAAACACCTTCGCCTGTCCGCGAGGGCATGGCGAAGAACTGTGTGCGGTTCTATCTGCAGCAGCCTGGCGATCTTTGCTGGGCTATGGCGTCCGGTGCTGGCATTTCTTTGACGTGAGTGCTCTTTTCCTAAATCCTTTTCACTTTTCCACCCCGCTTCTACTTTGGAATTCATAGTACTAACTGCCTGCTTACAGTCAATTCTACGAATGGAACCCCGCCGTGGGAAGTGACTGCCAGAACCTGTGGCCGGATTACTTTTACTGCATTGGTGTGAGCGGTACCGCGACGACCATCACTCGGGGACCACCTGTACCCACGTAGGAGGACGGGATCTGTAGAGGAAAAGAATTGTTAGGTATTATGTACTATGTACTGGAATTTCTTAGCGTTGTACTGCCATTCGGGGATGAGATACATTTCAGCTAAGTAGCGGCAGCTAGCGTCCGTTAAATTGAACTTTATGCGAACACTCGAAATCGTATGTCAGCATGTCCTTGTGTGAAGGAGTGGTCAAGCTTTGATAAAGTAACTCAGTAAACAAAAGTGATAAACTGTCTGTCGAGCTCTACTCGAGCTCGAACGCAGCTTTTATCTACATGTTCGGAGATATCATCTGCCGAAACCTTCTTTGTATATTCTTTCTGTACTACAAGTAGTTGTCGGCTCAAGCTTGACCCTTGCTCAGGCTCCTTCACCGTCACCATCCGTACTTTAAGCTTACTGAGCTTGGTGGCTAGGTGAGCTTGACCGCGACACTATTCATTTCCCAAAAACCCTGTACCCATGATCCTCTGAGTCGGTCATCCTGATTATTCTTGCCACCATCTCCATCGCCATGATAGAACCGTGTACGTTACTCGTCGTCGCTCGAGTCAGTCGCTTCCACATCATCATCCTCAACCTCAAGAATCTCCCAGAGCTTCATCTTCTTGGCTGCGTAGTCACTCCAGTGAGCTTCGGTTCGATCCAACAAATAGTTCATGAGTGCCGTATCTGCTGCTCCCCACAACTTGACCTAATGCAAACAAACATTGTTGCTGAGGATCCAACATCCGAGTTCCTGAAACCCCACTTCCAGTCCGCTGTAGGTTTGATTAGGGCTGTAATTGAACGGTGAGAGCTTGTGGTCGTTTTCGCATTTCAGCATATGTTGACCAAACTGGTAGATGCAGTTGCCGAGATCGTGGTTCTTGGGCAAGCGATCATAGACAACAATGCGGTGTGCTGCGACCAGGACCCACGCAAACTTCTAATACACGGAGTGTAGCGATTGAGGAAAATTCCAAGCATCGGATAGCTTGTCAAGATCTTAACTAGAATGAAAAGTCAGTTCATGTTCTACTTGGCATGTATGTACAATACACGTACCTCTTATGCAGGCTGTTCCAAGTAGCGGCAAACGCTTCCGTGGGTTCAAGAGTCAGCCAGTGTGCCTTATTGGTCGCGCTCTGTCCCCACTTAGGTATTCACACAAGATATGTCATCTTAAGGAGAGATTGAGGCCCGGTGCTCCACCTAAAACGTACTGGAGGTCGGTTCTTTTCGTCATAGATACGATCCCATCCAGTAAGGTACTTGCAATTGTTGTTACAATTACTCACATCGGCCAGTGATTAGCCAACTTAGAGGACGGGGGTTGAGAGGCGGTTGTTAGAAGTCGCAGTATATATAGGCCGCAGAACGGATTTTCACTTGGAGCAAACGAAGTGAGAGTACGTCCGCGCACGCGCCCACGCACGCAAGACAAACGAATGCTAGTAGCGTATAATTCTGCGATTGATTTCATCCAAGTGAAAATGCATTTTGCGACCTATGTATACCGGGAATTGCACCAAGATTGTGACTTCTGTCGACCGCCTATCAACCTCCTCCCTCCAAGTTGGCTAATCACTGACTGATGTCAACCAAAGGTCAAGGTATCTGCTGCTTTGCATCCTCACAATGTACCTAAACCATGCGACACCTCATTCATGCTGACTGGTAACAGAGTTAATCATATCTCCCATTTGTTACATGTGAGATGAAACGGCCACGGAACCAACACAGCGGGTGTACTACAGTTGTACTACAGGAGTAAGTGTGGAGAAGAATGCGGGTGGCCCTGGCCTTGGGTTTCCGAGTAAGCTTTCGATCGGCAGCACAATGACTTGGTTGGGCAATGCACCCGCTTTGCTTGATTACGCCTCATGCGCAAGGAACATGGGACGTCATGTTGTATGTGGAGCCGCGATAGATGGGTGAACACGGACAGAGCTACGCAACAACATTGATATATGCAACGGCTGAAGGTTTGAGGGGACAGCGTGATGTTGCAGTGTATAGCTATCTTCTTTCGTTTTTCCCTTTCCCCTCCTTTTCTTCTTCTTCTCCGCATGTCTTTCTCCTCGCTACGTGTATGTGGCGAACTCCACTCTCGCACCGGAGCTATGTGCTGACTACCGCCCAGTACCCAATTTTCTGCATCTTGTCGGTATGCACTAGAAACATGAGCACATGCAACATGCAACGCCCGCCTTATCCATACATGGTGGGGATAGTATCGAGGGGAACCTAGCTTCTCACGATTGATGAGTACGATGAAACAACATGAACTGTAACCCCAATGACGATACAATACACAACGTAAAAGACTTGACCAAGCTTATCACCCGCCATAAATCCATACTATACCAGGCAACGCCAGCCTCAAGCGTGCCTCGGCGCAAAGCTTGAGATGTGGACTCGACGGGAGGCGCTTCCAACGTCCAACGCCGACTGCAACATGGATCCACCCGTAAAAGCGGATCACAACCATTTAATTGGCCACACCTTGTTTATGACCGCAACCTACCGACGTCATCAGTGGGAACCTCATCACACATATCGCGCGAATTAGCAACCAGGCCCACTTTCGTTTTGCGCGCGAAAAAAAAAATCAATATCGAATGGGGCGTGTAAGAGGAGAAACTGTGGGTGTCTGGAGTCTGGAGAGATTATGGAGAGAAAGGGGGGATTCTTTTTGCGGAGAGTGCGGAGGAGCCCAACATTGACATACACGCGCGGCCATGGGAGTGAATAAATAGATAGTAGTAGAATCATGGTACCGATCAAACACGCTATTCAGAGAGAGAGAAAAAGGCTACTGATAGATCAAAGCCCTACTTTCCTCTCATCATGCGCAAGGCGGACTTCTGATCCCCCCCCCCTTGCTTTTCACAAACCGTCGCCCGTCGCCAGCGGCCTCGGCATCAAGTAACCCCCAACCAAGCCACGAGTCGCAACGACAAGCACTAAATCACCCCGGTCGTGTCAGGGCTTGACATTTCTTCTTTGCGCCCTCCGAGATCCACGTTGTTGCTTGGCTCCCCCCAATCACTGACTGGTTGCTCGGAGGCTATACCAAGATTGGTATCACATCAGTAGCATGTACCTCAGCTGTGTCTGTGTGGGTGTGTCCCGACAAGGTCCCAACCACGCATTACCAATACCGGGACAGAGTCAAATGTCCGCTTGCGGGGCTCCCACGTTGGGTTTTCCGGGACCTGACTATTGCCCGCGTTTGTGGTTCCCAGTCTGGCAGAGTGTGGGCATCGAAGAATATATAAGTCTCGCCGCGCGCTCGCGTTAGCTTTGTTGGTTGTTTCTTCTTTCAACTGCGCTTGTTCAAGACGAACGTGACGGGGCAATCATGTATCAAATTGGGAATATTTACGGTATCACGGCTATTGCCGTTATTGGTGGTGGGTTGTTTGGGTTTGATATTAGCTCCATGAGCGCTATGTATGCTACTTGTCCCCCTTGGATTTCCAACTGCTTGGAGGAGATGAGATGCTGACGGGAATAGTTTGCCAACTCAACAGTATCGATGTTACTTTAATCAGGGACCGCTGGGTCCGCCTTTTACGGGGCCTGAGGATGCGTGCTCCGGGCCTAAGGCTGATGTGCAGGGTGGTATCACCGCTGCGTAAGCGTCCATCCTCACAACTACTGTATCGTTTTAACACAACACAGTATGCCCGGTGGTTCCTTTGTCGGTGCTCTCGTATCTGGATACCTGACTGATAAGCTGGGTCGTCGTCGCGCGATCCAGATCGGCTGCCTCATCTGGATCATCGGATCGATAATTTCTTGTGCAGCCCAGAACATCGGCATGCTCATTGTCGGTCGCTTTATCAACGGTCTCTCTGTCGGTATCTGCTCTGCCCAAGTACCCGTCTACATATCAGAACTAGCGCCCCCGTCTCGCCGTGGTCGCGTTGTCGGCAGTCAACAGGTAAGCTTTCAACCCCACAACACCCACAACACATTTTGAGCATTTGCTGACCGTGTATCGGAAAACAGTGGTCGATAACTTGGGGTATCCTCCTAATGTTTTATATCTCCTACGGCTGCAGTTTCTTGGATGGAACCAAGGCCTTCCGTATCCCATGGGCCCTGCAGATGATTCCCGCAATTATCCTTGGTTTTGGCCTTGTCTTTCTACCCGAATCTCCGCGTTGGCTTGCACGACATGACCGCTGGGAAGAGACTCAGGCCGTTCTTGTCCTGGTTCATGGCAAGGGTGATCCCAACAGCCCGTTTGTCAAGCTTGAGATGGATGAGATTCGCCAGGCGATTGAGTTTGAACGCCAAAACGCCGATGTCACTTTTATGGAGCTATTCAAGCCTAACATGATTAACCGTCTTCATATTGGTGTATTTACCCAGATCTGGTCCCAACTTACTGGAATGAACGTCATGATGTGGGTATCTCGAAAAAACTTATCTTTACAGTATGGAAACTGACAAATTCACAGGTACTATATCACGTACTTGTTCGGTATGGCAGGCTTAAAGGGAAATCTCAACTTAGTTGCCAGTTCCATCCAATATGTCATCAACGTAATCATGACTGTACCCGCCCTCCTCTTCATGGACCGCTGGGGACGCCGCCCAATGTTCGTCATCGGCGCCACCCTCATGATGACCTGGATGTTCGCCAATGCCGGTCTCATGGCTTCGTACGGCAAACCCGCACCCCCTGGCGGCGTGGACAACATCGCCGAGCAATCGTGGGAAATCGGCGGTGCCCCTTCGAAGGCCGTAATTGCTTGTACCTATCTCTTCGTCGCTTCTTACGCACCTACCTGGGGTCCAGCATCATGGGTCTATCCCCCTGAAATCTTCCCGCTCCGTATCCGCGGCAAAGCCGTTGCGCTGTCGACCTCCGCAAACTGGATCTTCAACTTCGCACTATCGTACTTTGTTCCCCCAGCCTTCGTCAATATCCAGTGGAAGGTGTACCTCATCTTTGGCTGCTTCTGCGCTGCAATGGCTATCCATACGTTTTTGCTTTTCCCAGA